TGCTTGCATAAGTATAAATTTTTGCTGCCTTATGTTTGCCGCAGAAAATTTATAAGCAACTCATACTTTATGCAACTCATACCAAAATGATTTCTTTACCTCGGCATATATGCAACGCAACAATCACCGAACCGACGCGCTCATGAACACAGAACACAACACACTGCGTCAGAAAGCACATGTTCGATCAAACCTCAACAGCGTGCTGTGCGGAATACCAGAGCGATCACCACAGCAAAAATATAAAAGTACAGGACGTAAGAACGATCGGGTAAAAATTGGAAGAAAACCACTTTAATCGCGATGACTAATTTTATGACAATTAACGAAAGAAAATCAAAAAGAATGTCGATCAATATCTCGAAATTGTGTTAATTCTCAAAGCAACTAAGCGCAATGTGTCCAACATAAAAAAAAAAAAGTAAAAAAAGTAAAAATGTTACTTGGCTGTTAAACATCTATTATTCTTGGACGTGACTGATTTTTTCCATTTATCAAAAATGGATGTGTTCCCAGTCTCTATTGTATTGTACGCGTGTCTTTGGTCGATTTAGGCCATTACTCCATTACCAACTTCCGTGCAAGAACTTTCAATATTCTTACCAGAAGAAGGTCTACCATACACATCAAACAGATGGACAAACGGACAGAATTTGATGCTAATCAAGAATATATATATATAATTTATATATATTGAAAAAACAGTGAGGCATGGCGGAAAATATCTTATGATATGGCACTACCTTTCTTGGAAGTGTCGATCTGAAACATCTCAGGAAACTTTAACGGTAGCGATAGATTTGTTTATAAAAATTTTGGAAACTGTAATTTTGACCCACGCCAAAGAAAACAAATTTCAGGAGGATAATGATCCGAAACATTCAGTAGTTTGGCGAAAGTGGGGTTCCGGGAACATAACTCGGATGTCACTGCATGGCCGTCTCACTCGACCCTCTTCAGAATATTTTGAAAGGACTAAGACGTCATGTTTCCTGTAGGTGCATTGTGGAAAAATATTCAAAAAGTATGATCTCAGTAGAGAACTGTGATAATTAATTTCATCCATGCCTACAAAAATCGAACTTGTCCTTACAAACGATAGTGGTTATTCCGGCTACTGACTGCCTGACTTGATTTCTATAAAAATAATTATTTTTAAGTACAGAGTTTGCGATATTTCTAAATTCTTGCATATACGTCTATTTTGTTGTCCACCAGAAAACATGCGATCTTTTTGAACAGGACATCTTTTAAGTTTTTTTTTATACTTAACTAAAAGCCCAGGAGAGTGCCCTCGTCTGACATAAACCAATATACACCTGTCTTAGTTCATCTCCGTAGATATTATAGTGTCGTCTCTGAAGCTTGCTTCTGGGGGTCCCAAACCTTCTCATAAACCGATCCTTCGTTAATAGATGTAATAAAGGGAACACGGTTATTTCTATATAAATGTCCTAACATTAAAACTCTGGTAAGCCTCGAGTTTATATCCCCGTAAAGGGATAGTTCAAGGGGTAAATTAACTATTACTATACTTATATAACCGCTCTGTAGGAATTTCGGGATTGATACTTTTATAAATTTAAGTGGAACGTGCTTTTTAAACGAAAATTTCTATTAATTTTCCTTTAATTTTGATTTAATAAGTAAATGAAAAATTTTTATTATATAATCAGTTAACGCTATACTTACTTTGTTGTGTGAAGTAATTAAATAAATAAACGTTCTTTTGCAAAAAAAAAAAAAAATTGATAAGTAAATTTTATTATTTTTTGTGTTTTTTTTTTTTTTTGTTTTTTCATTTTGTAAATTCACGATAATTTAATTTATTGCATTTATTATATATATCATATTATATTTATTTTCATTTTTTATTGCTTATTTTTAAATCATTGTAGTAATAAGTAATCAAATATATATATATAATGTAATTGTGACTAATGTTAAAATATGTATTTATGTATAGCAATAGGTATGCTGTAGTAAGAATAGATAGATAAAGCGTAGAGCGCCCAACGTTATTACTAAATGAGAGATATTATGTGTATATATATTTATTTATTGATTGTGTTATTAAACATAACGACGTATGTAGGTGTACATATTAATCATTTCATAAAAAGAAATGTGAAAAGAATTCATATGTATGTTTGTTAGAGAAATTGATTGCATTTCTGTAACCCTATGCTTTAATAGTTTGAAGTTATCATTTTTCAAGGCTTTCTAGGCGTATGATTAATTAATATATGATTGTATTCATTATGGAAGAAAATTGGAAACTTGTAACATATTTATATGTGATCAGAATTAATTAATACAATCTGTTACCGAGTTAAATAAAAAAAATAAAAAAAAAAAATAAAAAACGATCTTTTTTATTAACTTATCTAAAGCAATATTAAATTACGAGTTCCATTGCATATGGGAATATGTCAATGAATTAAGTATCTGCATTTTGTGGGGTGACTGACTGACTGTACATGCTATATCGTAAATTAAATTTACAAAAAATTCAATGCCCGCGCGATAAACAAATTTAATTAAATTTCTCTTTAAGAAAAATAGAAAAAAAAAAAAAAAAAAAACTCTAAAAAAGAGATATATATATTTTAAAAAATATATAAAATTTTTTATATATATTTTTTTAATTTTTTTCAATTTAAAAAAATATAATTTTTTTTGTTTTTTTTTTTTTTTTTTTTTCTTTTTATGCTGTTCTTTTAATTTAAGTTAGTTTAAGAGAATTAATTAAAACTTGAAAGACATGAGTATACCCATCATCAGCGATAAAATTTTTATTTCACATCTTGCAGCCTCATGTTTAGAATAGAGCTAACCATTTCAGATACACATGCACGTACTGCTACTCTGCACAAATATATGTATTTTAAATCCAATCGATTTAACGATATCCGTCTAAATATCACTTCATCGTACGAATCAAAATCAACTAAGAAGACAATTCAAAAAGATAATCACAAAATATGGTCAGATATGGCTTATACGAGAACTCGTAGAATTAAATATACTAAAACTGTTAAAGGAGAAACGAAGACGGACAATTTAAAAAACGATCTCAAATTTGCTAGCATTTGCTGTCACAAGAACGAATCTTTCAGATAGCACAGCAGTAGCAATACGTGCCTTGCTATGTTTATTTACGCCAGATATTAATTACTTTAAAAGTTTCGTCAAGATCGTTTAGATCGTTACTGTGTTTCAGGAAAACGGGAGTAACGATTAAAATGAAATACAAAGCGAATAGGATTGTAGTAGGAAGAGTTTCAATTATACAGACCAATTATTCAGGCAAATTACTTCTTTACTATTACTTCTTACAAAAGAAGTCAACTGAAGAAATGACGAATTTGAATGCTTTTTAGAGTGCATACTACTTTAAATGAAGAAGTTGTAAGATTCTCTCTCAAAATTATCGGTACGCGTAAGCAATATTTTGATAAATGCGTTCCTTATATGTTAACGTTAATTGAATTCGAGCATTGACAATAGATGAATAATACGTTTAATGGAACTTGGTTGATGATGGGCATTAAACTAATTCGCCCGAAAGCAAACACAAATTTTTTTTTTTTAATATTTCAGAAGAATTTTCATTTCTTGAAAATTAATTTGAATGCTAAGCATTTTCCATTTTTTTTTTTTTTTTTTATTTTTATTTATTTTTTTTTTTTTAAATTTATTTCATATATAATATGTAAATAATGAATTCTTTATGTTAGTAAGTTAATGTTACTTTATAACTTTTTTATTATTCATTTTAAAACGGAATTACAAGGGTTTTTATTGAAAAAGAAGCGATTGTTAAAAATTAACTAACATAATTAACATTTTTAAACATTTTAAACACATTTATCATCCAAATCATGGGCAATGCAAAGATTATTTTGCTTCCGGGAATATTTCTTACTTCTTGTATCCTCTAAGTATAAGCATACATTCTAAGCTTTTCACTATATGTTAGCATATTCTTGAGTTTTAATTTATACGAGTTTTAAATTATATATATATATATTTATTTACATACATTTGTATGCATTTGTATTTATTT